TGTCCAGTCGGCTTCTGCATTCTCGTATCCGATGCCATGCTTTTCCACACCTTAGGCATAGTTTCCCATTCATCCTTCTAGTGTATTATTCCTTAGACAGATTCAGAGCAGGCCCTGCTCTTGACTTGTCTAATTCCATCGGTTCGCCTGGTGGTAATGCTCGACTTTCTCCTCGAGGTGCTTGCGGTTTGAAGGTCCCGTCCACATTCCTGGATGATTGAACCACTCTATGTGCTATAGTATTTTTCAAGTTGCTCCGAACTATGTTTAATTTGCTTTCTTTGTAGATTGCCCATCTTGCAAATCGTTCGGCTGTCGTATAGCGCAGGTCAGAGATTCCCCTTGCCTCTCGGAGTCTCTCACTGCAATTTCTCAGGAGGATGATGTAGAGAGTCGCATCATCAAACTCGGCCTCGTATTCCAACAGTCGACATTCGTTCCAGTATGCTGAGAACATTTGTTTTCCTTGCTGGAGTTTTTCTAGCTTTCCTCTTGCTGTTTCTTTGGCGTTGGGGTCTCCAAATTGTTCAAAGAGTGTCTCCTTGAACTCTTCGTACGTGACCCATTCCCTCTGTTTCCGTCCATCTTGGAAGGGCATGATCTATTGTCCCGCGAGTCCTCTGAGTAGAGATTCCACATATGGAATCTTAATTTCATCATGGTGATCTCTGTATCCCTTAACTGCAAAATATCCCTCGCATTTCGCTAAGAATATTCGTAGCTTATCTTCGGCTCCTTCATATGTGTCAAGCTCCTTTGCTTTTGGTTGTTGGACATTTCCTTGCCCTGTATTTCGCGTGGCTGCAAGAAATCCCTGAAACTGATTTTCAGTCATTCCAAGTATGCTGGTTCCTGGTGCCGGAGCGGCTGGGGCCGGTGGCCCAGGTACTGCGGATCCCGACATTCTCTCGGGTCGTGGCATTCCAGCAGGAGAGCTATCGACTGGTGATCCTTTCTCTGGGGTTACTGGGCTTGCTGCTCTCGAGGGTTCTGCTGAGACGTGATCTAGGGCGTCGCTGAATCCTCCTAGATTAAGATTTTGATCGTCGATGTCAATATCTCCATCCCTGTCTGGGTTGAAGGATGCCGTCTTGTATCGTTTATCGTCGTACTAGGAGACGCTTTGTAATGTAACGATCCCTCTTTGGATAGTTAGTACTTGGCGATAGGGAATGATACTTCTCTTCCTGTCTTTTTCTTCCTTTGTCTTACGATAGCTCTAGGCTTCTGCCTACGTTACCGATAGTACAAGACCCTTGTCTTCTATCGGGACCGCCTATCGTAAGCTTTCTCTAACTCTTCTTCGTAAAGCACCTTCCTTAACGTAACGATAATGTTGCAATAAAGATAAAGATCGTAAAGGTATTTTATATTCGTTAAAGTAATAAATAGGAAAAGTACTTAGAACAAAGCGTGAAGAACCTATCTTCCTCGGCCGCATCAGCCTCCTTATATAGTGTTCTTCCTGCCTTTTAGTCATGTGACCTAAAGTGGTCACATGTGTGAAACTAAATCTTAACAAACTAGTCATATGATCCAAGTGATCACATGCTCAAAACCCATGACCTCATAGCGAGGTCATGTGCGAAACTCATAAACCAATAATAACGCAATAAACAAGTCATATGACTCGACTGAGTCATATGCACGAAACCCATGACATCATAATGAGGTCATGTGCGAAACATAAATCATATGCGCAAGGCTTACCCGTAAGGCACACTCGTAAGGCATACTCGTCAGGCACATGTCCCATGACTCATACTTGAGCCATGTGCGAAAGCATCACAAATCCCACACATAACTAATCATATAACCCGAATAGGTCATATGCGTGAAACAATAACATACCTGTAACTCATAACCATGTATCACGTGAAAACCCTTTCCTCGCTAAGCCACGTTCGTGACATTGTGTTTCTTTTGTGTTTCCTTTCTCAAGAGAATACAGTGTGGGTTTTCTTGTTGGCTCCTGCCGGTCCTGTTTTGTGCTTTTTTTGTTTTGTGCAGAAGAAGCTTTCATGGGGGCGGATGTGCGGTTGGTCCCATACCAGAGGGACTTGGGCTGACTTGTTTTCCCCTAGGCCTGTGGAGGAGGTTTTTGACCAGCATGTCTAAGGACTAAATCGGGAGTGTGAGGCAGTTATTGCAGAGGTGCCCTTCTATCTAGGATCGATGCTTTAGCCAAACTGTGCTCTTATAGTGGAGGTTTGCACATTTAAGCAAATAGATTCTACGATTTAACAAAAAAAAAAAAAAAACTCGGACATTCGCAAGATGGTGCACTTGCAAAATTGGCCTGGTTATGATATGATATATCATAGTCTAATACCGGTACTTCCCCAGTAGGGTGCGTAACAGCAACCTTCGAGGCATGATAGGTCCTAGAACTGGTCACCACCAATTCGGTCTTTCGCGGAGCAGGACCCACCTTGACGCGCGTTGCACTCCAGGGCTTTCTCCCCTCCCCGCCCCATGGGGCTTCGGATCCACCCTGCCGAGAGAAGTTTGAAAATTTTTTTAATTTATAAGAATGAAAAAAGCAAACCGAACAGAAAGGGAAAAATAAAAAAAAGGAGAGAAAGAGAAAACCCGTCCTTGAGTTGTTTGTTTCGACTTGGCTGGGATACTAAATGCCATGATGATGCACTCCACCCCGTCGCCATTGTGGTTGACGTGATACAGTACTGTATAGTACGAGTACAGTACTCGTACAGGTGGGCTATAATTTTCACATAATCGTTATCCCCCACCTGGGGACAATCGCTGTCCGTGCCCGTGTTTGATGGCCAAGGGTATGATACCTTCGATGGCATCATATTTTTTGTGACCCACCACAACACAAACTTTATAGTGACGGGGTCATCAGCGCTCACTCGGCACAACGGACTAGGGGGCGTGTGACCTGTGGGCATTCGTGGGGGCTATACTCGGGTACTTGGGTAGACTACCGGTGGGTTTGCTACGCCAATTTCCAAGGCCGGGGTACGGCATGGTGCACGGATTTTGTATGATATAAGAAGATGGTTGGAGGCGTTGGATGAGTATCGTGCCGTACTCCCAGATTTTCATAGCCACCTCCTTCAAAACCACCCCTCCCCTACAATACGTGCACCATCCCATATAATGAACGAACGTCTTCCATTCCACAAAAACAACAACGGCACCAGCGGAAAGGGCTCATGATTATACTACTAGACTATAGCACCTCCACCACCTGTAATACGAGTATCAGCAACCCCCTCCACTCCGACTTCCGTGCTCGGCCAACACGGATGCTCCTCCATCTATTTAAACCCCCCAGCGATGAATTACGCGGCCTGGGGGGGGGGGTACACTGCACGAGTAGAAGGGTGTGGAAATAGGGATTTCGAGTTTTATTACCGTATCCCTTGACTTGATTTCCCTCTGCGCCCATTTAGCAACTTCTTGGTGCGGTTGGTTGTCTTGGGTTGGCCCCATGGTATGGACCGGGAGGGAGTCCTGTTTGTGACCTGACCTGACCAGTTGGAAAACATCTACTTGTAACTTACTATTGTGGATTTCTACACTTGAACCCTTCCTATTTTGGGGGACTAAAAGGAGGGGCGAGGTGGTGATATCCTATTTACCCTTTCAGTATTCAGTTCGGGGGGGGGGGACGAATTTGGTTAAGCCGCAGTCGGCGACAGTTGTGGGCATAAAACACGACATCAAGGTGTTTGGGGCTTGCGCGGTGGGTATGGTACCCGGAGGAGGGATAGAGAATGGGATGGGGAAAGTGGTCGTGTGGGGGTGAGAGGGTGGAGATTAGATGAAAGCGTTTGTCACGGTAATCTGAATCTGGGAACCGTAATGGGTATGATAAGTAGTGTGAGTTCGGGATATGGTATTTGTATCATAAGAGGGAATTGGTAATTGCCAAAGGGGGGTGTGGGAGATAGTTCTGGGGAGTAAATCATAGATATGGCATGAAGTTGGAAAAAACTGTCAGTTCAAGCATAGCGCTGTAGAGCCAATTGAACCACACAAGGCCACACAATATGGCACTGCGTCCCGCAAACAAACTCCCCTCCCCCCTCCCCTCCCCTCCCCTTACGACATGGCAGCCCGGGGACTGAATGAAAGAAACTTTCTTCCTCTTTCGTTTCTCCCCTTTACACAAAACGCAGGTACCCGCCCAACTCTACCGGTATTGCACCATCTCGAACGCCGAGATACACCCACCTTCCTCACCAAAGCATACAATCCACAAACTTTCGGTGACCACCACCAGCTCGTGGTCAACTCTCCCCCTCGCATCTGACATCCCCCCACCGCTGCCAATGTATGAAAATGAAAATCCCTCTCCAAAACGCAACCCGTGACATTCCTACCCACCCGTCGAATCCGTGATAGCCTTATTGCCTGCTCCTACCGCTGGAAATGCCCGAGGAATTCTGAAGCTGGCTTGGTCAGCCGAGGTTTTCTTTTTCTTTTCCTTTTTCCACTTTGTTTCCTATTGTTGAGAGTGTCGGTGCCACACGCGGCAGCGGATCTTGGCCGTGGCCGCGAGCAAGACTGGTTGTGTTGTTATTGTATGCGCAAGACGCTGCGCCAGGGTGAGTCGTTCGATACCGGTAGCTGAGGCGGCCCTGTTCGTTTATCACTCGACATGAGGTACCACTCAGGTGCAGGTAACTTGAGTGACTGTCTCACGACACCCTGGTTCTGACACCCTCCAGGTACCGGTATGTAGACGCACAAGCCTTGTTCTCGTGATACAGCCTTGGGATGATGCTCTTCCACCATCCCGACTGCTGTGCCTCTGGACGGACCACATGCTGGTCAAGTCAATCTAAGAATATCATACTTTGGGGCGATTTCGTCACTGGGATGCGCAGTATTCAGGAGGTATTCCTTGGATTGTGGGGGTTGGGTGGGGCAGTGGTATCATGTTGTCCTTCTGATACCATCCTGAGACGCAGTAAGATAAGCCTTCCCAGACCTCTTCTCCCATCTTGTATGTTTTAACAACCGCCTGATGTTGCCCCCCCCCCATAAGCTTGCGGCTAACTCTATCACGACAACCATCCTCCACTTTAACGGGCTACCGGTAGATCACCAATGCCTACTGCCCGCCGTGGGTTTGAGCTGCTACACACGTGCCGCGGTTGCGTCACTACCGGTATATGATCCGCACATATTACTTCTTTCCGAGTGATGTGCTGTGCGGGGGTCGGGTCGAGGGGGGCATTATGGGGGAATTATGATACCGTGCTGTATAGATGTAATTGGACAAAGAGTGGAATGAAGGGTATTCGAAGGATACCCTTAAAGTTTACCGGAGGGAGGGGGGAGGGTGTCCAATAGTGGCGCGTGGATACAGTAATGGCTATCTTGCTATTGCTTATATCATGATACACGCTTTCTGCCAGTTTGTGGTTTGGCGGCGGCGGTGGTGTTGTGGTGTAATATTCGTATCATGCCAGTATTGATTGGATCATGTCTTTTGCGATGGGTTTAGGTCTAGGTTAGAGCCTAGCTGCCATGTTTATCGCTTATAGTGTCATGGTGAGGGTTCTTTTCATCAGAATCAGATTGCCCCGAGTTTCACTTCAGGGTCTGCGGGGATGAATAAAGTTTCTCACAGCAGTCTGCTTTATCGCTTCCCCCGTCAATTATTGCTTGGGTGATGACGACGAGGTGATTGGGTCCCCCCTAGCTGTCTGGGGTTTCTTAAGGCACGAGTCTTGAATAATTAATCCGATTTCAAGATGTTCCCCCTCCATGGGAAAAAAAGAAAAAAAAAAAAGGAAAAGAATAATTGCTCGCCGCTGTTAGGGCTCACCCCGAACCCGAAACCCTCGGCTTAGCAACCAAACAAGTCCCGTTTTTCCCCTAATATGATAGGGTATGATATGATATGATACGAAACCGGATTCAGCCCCAACCCTAGCAGAGCCTGCACAAGCTTCCATCATGCTCCTGTCAAAGCCGCACAAACAAACAAACGCCAGTTAAAAAAAAGAGGGTGAGTCTTTTTTTTGTTTTTTACCGGTAATGATCACCACAACAGCAAAACATCGTCCACCGAGTGGACGCGTTCGCCCATTATCACCGCCAACACACCTCCGACATCAGCACCACCACCCAATGAGGCTCCCGTCCTGTGAAATTCTTCGATTGCCGAAATGTCCTCCTTGCCGTCGGGGTATGCACGCTCTTCCACCCCTGCGTAGTAGCAGTGGTGGGTGTGGCACCACTAGCAGCACCGGCAGCACCAGTGCGAACAGACAGATCGCGAAGATGGAGAAACTGGAGGATCTGGTGTTTGCTCAGGCGGCCTACATTTCCTCCACGGCTAGGAGCTCGGAGACGGAGGCATTGAACGAGAGGGTGGAAAAGTTGGAGGAGATGCTGGCCGCCCAGGCCGCCGAGCTCAAGGCGGTCAAGGGAAAGAGTGCTGGGGTGGATGCAATCGAGAGGAGGGTCAGGGAAATGGAGAACAAGATTCAATCTCAAAGTGGGCAGATCGGGAAGGGGGCTAATCGAGTTGGTGATGTGGAGACGAAGGTCAATGCTGCTGAGCACAGGCTAAACGGCTTCGTTTCGAAGCTTGGTAATGTCGAGAAGACAATTCCGAACCTGGTCACGACAAAGGTGGCAGATATGTACATGTCTACGACGAAGCAAGATATTGCGACATTGTTCAACCGAATTGAGGCTCTGGAGGCGCTAGGATCCCAGGGCGGAGGAGATGGAATGGCGGGGACGGATAATCCAATTGTTCTCACCCCGGCTGCCAAATCCGGAAAACCATCACCACTGGATATCCGCCTCGAAAAACTTTTCATGGATCTCAAACACCACCCCCGCCGCTTTGTGCCACCTTCACCGCAGAGCACGCCACTCAGCGAATTCTCCTTCGCATCGAATTCCGCCCCGGTGCCCTCCCAACGACTGATTCGCAATGGAGACCCCAAGCAAGTACTCCTCTTCATAGACGGGTCCTGCATATCGTCTGGAAAGTTAGATTCACGCCCTGGCTACGGTGTATACTTCCGTCGGGAGGACAACGTCTACGGCAGGCTGGAAGAGTACGATGGGGACGACAGCGCGTCGGGAGTGGCAGAAATCTGGGCCGCCGTCATTGCGCTTCAATTGAGGCCGTGGCGTGAGGAAGGGTTTGACAAAGTTGTTCTGGCCTGCGATGCAGAATACGTGGTCATGGGCGTGTGCGAACTAGCCGAGAAGTGGGCGGCGAAGGGCTGGAAAGCCGGGGGAAAGCCGATTTCCGGAAAGGATGCCTGGGAGAAGCTGCTATTTGAATTGGCTGTGCAGGAGGCTAGGGGGGTTCGTGTGCAATTTTGGTTGATCCCTAGGAAGCTCAATTTGGCGGATCCGGTGGCTAGGAAGGGTGCCGTAAGTTATATTCATTCTTTATTACCCCTCTCCCTCACCGTACTGTTACATGAGAGATCTAACTGGAGTGCTGGGATCCAGGGATTTGATATGGCGGAGATTAGATCTCGGAATGAGCTGCTCCTACGGGCACCGCATCCCCCGCCCCCGCCGGAACGAGAGCAAGCGGTACTCGATCATCAAGAGGAACGAACGGCTCCGCCGGAGGAATCTGAGCCCCGAGAAATACAGCCGGTGGATGCACCAGCGGAGAAGCCCCCGGGGCTCTTCGGATCCCTTTTTGGTTTCCTGAGACGTAAGCCACTAACCACCGGGTATTAAACTCTACACGCTTTCCAAGTTCATCAAACTCTCCTTTGCTCTCCATTAATTAATACAACCTTACCCTAATCATTTCTATTTTCTATGCAGCCCATCATCAAAAGAAACACCAATAAATTCGAATCTGACGCCCGGACCGAAAGCAACCAGAAAATCATCACAAAAAGAAGAAAAGGACAAAACCAAAGAAAAAAAAGATAAAATCGCAACTCTTTCTTTAATTCCACTACACCCTCCACCCTCGCACCCAGGTGATTGGCCAGGGGGCACCGGTCCCAACCAACCCGAACACGTCCGGGGCCTCAATTCGCAAGTAACTCAGATATCCCTCTCGGACCCGAACATCCCTATCGAGCAGCGACGGCTAGCATACCACCGATCCCTCCTTTTAAACCCCAATCTCGATCTAGAAACATTACAGCCGCATGAGATCACCAACATCGACTTCGCCACTCTCCGCAAGGACTACCACATTAGCCGGCTAATAAGAGCCACCCTCGAGGATCCGTTCATAAAGAAGGGGCACAAAAGCATAAAAGCCGATGCGGAGTCCATTACCAGCCTATCCCGGAGGCTGATAAATGCTAGTCCTGAATCCGCCGCCGTCATCAGAGCGAATAAGAAGAAGATTAAAGCTGCAGCCGCCCTGTCAGTAGCTAATATTTTGAGAGCGAAAGCACTGGATGCTTCGTGCCGTGGTGAGACTTATGCCTTGAAGGAGAGATTGACTAGCTTGTCGAGTTCAACTACGAAGATGGTTTTCCACAGGATGGTTTGGGAATCCACGGTTCCCAAGATCGAAGAAGCGGTTGGGGCATTGACCGCTGATGTGCGAGGGACGGCTGGCATGATAACCGTGCTTGACCAGATGATCCATGAGCGCGAGGCATGGGAGAAGAAGGCTGATGAGAAGGAGACGAATGGGAATGGTAAATAGGTTAGGCTATGATCGGATTTGACTATTTGTGGCCTTTTTATATGTATATTGCGTGAGGTAGTGGTGGCCATGTTAGTGGGTGCGTTTTCTCCCTCTGCCTTATTTTTGTTGTCGTTGTTGGTATATATCATTGTACAATATGCGAGCCTGTAGATAGACAGACACCTGGGATTGTATAGACTTTTGACAGTATCTCTACTCTTGTCGTAGCGTTACAATAACTTGTTTAGCGTAGCGCGGCATTTCTCACTATCGAGATATCCTAGATGGAACTTGTAGCTTTAGTTGCCATTTATCACGTTCCGAAAGTATTGTACCGCATCACGAAAGCGCCATTCTCTCGCGGATTACGAGTTGGCACGATGCCAGAGCATCACTTGGGGTGTGCAAACTTCCTTCTGTCGAGTCCAGACTGATATCCCATTATCACACGCGCGACTCAACAACGAAACACCCCTCTACCTCTCAAGCAAACAAACAAAGGTCGTTCGTTTGGTAGCCGGATTAGAGGCCAAAACACACCAAAACAGCGGGTGGGGGGTTTTTTTTTTTTTTTTGAGCCATTACATCCCCACAGATGTTATCACTTGAAACTTATCCCTGGAAGAAGAAATTTCAAAAAAAGATTCGGAATGTCCAAAGTATGGTATATATGTATGTCCATTTCAGGCTCCCTCTCGTTCGGGAGTAAGTGGGCAAGGTTCTCATCTCGGCGCATCTTTTGCCATAATTATCGTAAAAAAATGAGTAATAAAATTTAGTATGATAGAAACCCCCTTTATGGTAGGTATCATAACACAAGATTGAACGACCCGAGTGATACTTCATGACCAAAATAACGCATTTCGTGAGGGCGAAGAGCGCGGGCCGACTACCATGATAAGTCCGGAAAAGACGCGCATTAGCACCGCGCACCCCTTGCTGTATACCGACCGGCACGGGACGCTCACGACAGCTCAGTGGCAATGGCGACCGTGAGGACGACGGATGGCATAGAACCTTCTGTTCAGCGTACGAAAAGGAATATATATATTTTTTTCTTTTCGTCACCTGCTGTTGAGCCTGCTCGCTAGCGATACCATATGGTATACACCCCCCCCCCGAACACCCAGGATGGGGGAGTACCGGAAGGTGACCGTATGAGAACGGGAGCGGAGGCGATGATAATCTGGTCACAACTATCGCTCCAGTCAGGGACTAACTTGATAGGGGACTTTAAGCGGGGAGTTGGACAGCGTATAGTAGCATGAAGAAGAACTCCCTTATCGGTGTGGTTGTTTGGGTGATTGTCCGTGACAGCAGGCAGACTAATGAATGCCGGGGTGGTAGTTCAGAGAGGAGTGATCGAACAGCGCGCAAACCGCACACCTGACAAGTCCCCCCGCCCCCACAGAGCCTTACCTAGGGGTCTCACGTTTTTCAGGAGAGGGGGAGCGTTGCTGATTGCTAGAGGGTGTGCGCTGCTCCCGCTTACAGAGGTAAATTTGAGGGGTATGATAGGAGATAGAGAGGGGAAGAGGGGTGCACGGTGAAGTGTGGGATTGAACAAGGAGTGCCCTTAACATCGGCACTATCCTGTACCGAGTCCCACAGAAAACACAAGGGTCGTAAAGAAAGTCCTAGTGGAGGGGGGGAAAGGAAAACAGATGCAATGTTCGGGGGGGGGGGGGTTTGTTTGAAAGAGTAACGTGCTGTGATGGGATACAGTATGGGTCATGTTGAGAGTAATCAGGCATGAGGAGTGGCTATCTCTCTAAGCTTACTAGGATTTATTGTATTTTGATAGGTTTAGGCATTGTTTGGCGCGCCACAATATGAAAAAAAGAAAGAAAAAAAAAGTCTCTCGCGGATCCAACTCCCGCCAAAGCTCGAATCCCTTTGACCAAGGCGCACAGGAAAAGCCTTATCCACATAGAAGTGGTCTTGGTGATAATTGTGGCGAAAACAGGGGCCGGTAAACTTTAGGGGGCTTGCAACTTGAGTTAACTTTAAAGCCGAGAATGTCCCGTGTTATCATAAATAAAATATTTCATTCGCGGTAAAAACGCCGGGAGAGTCAGATGGCACGTCGAATAGGACCTAAAATTCCTGGTGATGCCCAAGAAAATGTAAGACATCCGGTTAAATTTTTTTCGGGGAATAAGTACATTGAATAGTATGATGGGAAGGAGAACGAAGAGAGAAATAAAAAAACGTAAAGCAACCAAATAGACCGCAAAGTAACCATCATGTAATATCACACAGAGAAGTGAAGAACAGTGCTTAATTTTTAACGGAAGGTTGCTGGAAGTGACTTCGAGCGAAACAGAGAACCGAATAAACAAATGATGACCTTTTATCCTGCACCCCCTAATTTGATGACTTAATGTAAACGAAGATAAAAAAAAGGGGCATTCCCGATAGCAGTTTAGGCAGTTTAGGCGGCTGCTATAGCGATTGACTGGAGAGGGACTCTCTCCGCACGGCCCAAGATTTCGGCTGTGACTGGGGCCCTGTGAACAATACCTCCAGAGACGGGCAGCTGCGTAGTGTTCATCAAGTGCTGGTCGACTTCTCGTGCGCATTGCCGACCTTCATTGATACCCCTGTAAGAGAAAGGACCATTTGTTAGAGAAATCACTCCCAACAGTTCTCTGAGATCGCAGTAACTTACCAGACAATTAAGCTTTGTCCTCTTCGGCAATCACCAGCGGCAAAGACACCAGGCATGGAAGTAGAGTAGGCTCCCGGGGGTGTCTTGACATTCTTCCGAGCGTCTCTCTCGATATCACCCAATACTCTGTCCTCCGGGCCCAAGAAACCCATTGAGAGGAGCACAAGATCTGCAGGGAAGAACTGTTCGGATCCTTCGACTTGCTTCATGTCCCAACCCCCGCGAGAGCTCCTGGCCCACTCCACACGGACTGTGTTGATACCCTTGACCTTGCCGCCGCCATCACTTACAAACTCCTTGCTCATGACACAGTATTCTCTAGGATCCTTTCCATATCGTGCCTTAACCTCTGAGTGGCCATAGTCAATTCTGTACACCTTAGGCCATTGCGGCCAAGGGTTGTCCCTGGCTCTCTCGTTCGGTGGTTGAGGAAGTAACTCGAAGTTGACAACTGACTTTGCACCGTGACGAACAGCGGTACCAATACAGTCGTTACCGGTATCACCTCCACCGATAACGATGACATCCTTGCCCTTTGCACTGATATATTTGCCATCCTCATGGGTTGAGTCGAGCAAAGACTTGGTATTGGCATGGAGGAAAGCTATAAAGTTGGTCAGCTAGGACTGTGAGACGGTGGTGAAATTGACTTACTCATAGCATAATGAATACCATCAAGATTTCGATTAGGGATCGGGAGGTCTCTGGCAACTGTAGCACCGGTCGCAATGATAACGGCTTCATTTTGTTCCCTAAGGGAAGAGAGTTTTATGTCCTCGCCTACGTGAGTACCAGTGACAAATTTGATACCTTCAGCGGCCATGAAATCTGTTCTCCGCTGGACGATTGATTTGTCGAGCTTCATGTTCGGAATACCGTACCTACGCCGAATTAGCATCTCCAAGACAATCCGTTCAAAGGCAGCGGGGGCCTTTACATTAGCAAACCACCAATACGATCGGCCCTCTCATACACGACAACGAGGTGGCCGGCTTTGTTCAAACTATCGGCAGCTGCCAAACCAGCAGGACCGGAGCCAATGATTGCAACCTTCTTTCCAGTGCGAACTTCGGGCGGCGTAGGAATCATCCAACCCATCTCAAAACCACGGTCAATGATTGCACACTCGATGTTCTTGATCCCAACTGCTCAAAGTTAAGTCAGGTTATATCATGGTAAACACCATCCATAGGAGACAAACCTGGATCCTCGTTGATACCTAGAACACAAGCACCTTCACAAGGAGCTGGGCAAACGCGCCCTGTATACTCGGGAAATGGATTGGTTTGAAGAAGTTTTAAGAGGGCATTCTTCCATTGGTTTTGGAAAACGAGTTCGTTCCACTAAAGGAATGAGTTAGCTTGCGATCTTGAAGCAACGGAAAAGCATACAAGGAACCAACCTTGGGGATGATGTTCGAGATGGGGCAACCGGTATCGCTCTGGCAGAAGGGGACACCGCAGTCCATACAACGGGCGGACTGATACTTGAGCTCATCCTCGTCCAATCGTCTGCTGAGTTCTTGCCAATCCTTTGTACGTGTTTTGGAGTTCCGATACTTCTCATGACGGCGGGAGTAGAGCATGAAACCTTTCGTCTTGTTGAGTACCAAGGCAGACTTCTTCTCGGCCTTTGTATCCAAAATACTGTCTTCCAAATCAGTCATAGCAGCCACATGCTTGTGCTTGTCTACCTCCTCCTTTGCCAGCTGTTTCTCATGCTGCTCGCGGACCGGGTTGCCGGGAAGTAGACCTAATGGGTATTGGGAGACCTTCGATTTTCGTGCTTCCTCTTCCAGAACTCTCTTGTAATCGGTGGGAAGGACTTTTACGAATCTAGGAAGAGCCCTGCGGTAATCAAGGAGGATCCGTTTGGCTAGTTCGGAGCCGGTGAATTGGTAATGGTCTTCGACAAGGCCTCTAACCCAGGAGATTTCATGAGCATCTTCAACGCCGGAGAGCTCAACCATTTCCATGTTGACCTTAGAGGCAAAGTTCTGCTTTATATCGAGAACATAAGCGATACCTCCAGACATTCCGGCTGCAAAGTTACGACCGGTCTCGCCCAAAATGATGACCCGACCTCCTGTCATATACTCACATCCGTGATCTCCAACACCCTCAACGACAGCAGTTGCACCCGAGTTCCTGACGGCGAAACGCTCGGCAGCAACGCCGCGAAAGAAACATTGACCAGCAGTAGCGCCATAAAGACACACATTACCGACAATAATGTTCTCCTCAGCTTTGTAGGTGGCGTTTCTGGGAGGGTAAATGACGACGCGACCACCGGATAACCCTTTTCCAACATAGTCGTTGGCATCACCCTCGAGTTCGAGTGTAACCCCAGGAGCAAGGAAGGCTCCAAACGATTGACCGGCTGACCCTCTAAGATTGACATGGACAGAGTCTGGCTCTAAACCCGCCTCCCCCATCTTTCGACTGATTCGATAGGAAAGTGTGGCACCAAGTGCGCGATCCGTGTTGACTATATCGGACTCGATGCGAGTGGGAATACCTTTCTCTAGGGTATACTCCGATTCGTCAATCAATTTATTGTCGAGTCGTACGTGCAGACGGTGATCCTGTTTCCTGACGTTATATGTAGCAACACCAGGGCGAAGTGTATGAGCGGGCGTTAATATCAGAGACAAGTCAATGTTATTCGTTTTCTCAGTCATAAGATCTCTTCTTACGAGAAGTTTCTCCGAACGACCGATCATTTCATTGATGGTTCTGAAACCTAGTCTTGCCATGATGGCGCGGAGCTCGTTGGCAACGTAGTAGAAGAAATTAATAACGTTCTCGGGGGTACCGGTGAACTTCTTTCGCAGCTCAGGATCTTGGGTGGCGATACCAACAGGGCAAGTGTTCAAATGGCATTCTGTATTATATAATTAGCACAGGAGAACGCCATGAGATTCATTTAAGGGGAGCTACTTCTCATCATAATACATCCCATGGCGATGAGGGGTGTTGTCGCGAAACCCCACTCTTCTGCACCAAGGAGACATGCAATCGCAACATCACGTCCGGTACGCAGCTGTCCATCAGTTTGCACAATGACACGACCACGCAAGTCGTTTAAGACTAGAGTTTGATGTGTCTCAGCCAGGCCAAGTTCCCAGGGCAATCCGGCATATTTAATACCAGTCCAGCGAGATGCACCGGTACCACCATCATGCCCGGAAATGAGAATGTGGTCAGCCTTGGCTTTGGCTACTCCGGAGGCAACAATTCCAACACCAGTCTCAGATACAAGCTTCACCGAAACCCTTGATCGAGGATTAGCACATTTCAAATCGTAAATGAGCTGCTTCAAGTCTTCGATAGAGTAGATGTCGTGGTGAGGCGGCGGAGAGATGAGACCCACGCCAGGGGTTGAATGCCGGGTGCGAGCAATAGATTGCGAGACCTTATGCCCGGGAAGCTCCCCACCTTCTCCCGGCTTTGCTCCCTGAGCCATTTTGATCTGGAGCTCATCCGAGTCGGCCAAGTAGTGAGATGTGACACCAAAACGTCCAGAAGCGACTTGCTTGATAGCGGATCTCATGGTGTCCCCGTTTTCTAATATCTGACTTCTCTCAGGATCCTCGCCACCTTCACCGGTGTTTGACTTCCCTCCTAGCCTATTCATAGCTACAGCAAGCGTAGAGTGCGATTCCATAGAGATGGATCCATAAGACATGGCACCTGTACAGAAACGGCGAACTATTTCGGTCCAAGGTTCGACCTGGTCTATTGGAATTGGCTTTGAACTAGAGAAATCAAAATCCAATAGTCCACGCAGAGTACAGTTTTTTATTTGTTCGTACTCCGAGAGGGAATATGCTTCGTAAGACTTGTCGTTCTTCGTTCGGACAGCATCTTGGATGTTTGCAATACTGACTGGGTCGTTGACGTGGGATTCACCACCATCGCGCCAATGGTATTCACCCGTCTCGGGAAGCCCAGGGATAGAAACGATCTTACGGCTTGGATATCCGGTCTCGTGGAGAGCAAAGGCATCTTGCGCAATAAAATCTAGCGTGATTCCCTTGATACGCGTCGCAGTTCCGGTAAAGCACCTGTCAACAACAGAATCATCAACACCCAATGCCTCGAAAATCTGAGCACCCTTATAACTCTGCAAAGTCGAGATACCCATTTTACTCATGACCTTGAGGATACCGCCATCACAGGAATGCTTGAAATTGTCCACAACTTTCTCATCGGAAAGACCTCCCCTAATCAGCTTTTCGCGATTCATCTTCAAGATACACTCCATGGCAAGATAGGGGCAAATAGCGTCCGCGCCGTATCCTAAAAGCACACAAAGGTGATGCACCTCCCTTGCCTCAGCGGTCTCAATGACTAGGGCAATTTTGGAACGCATTCTATTTCGCACAAGGTGGTGGTGGACACCACCACAGGCAAGAAGCGCTGATAATGGCACACGATCGGCAGAAGTGTTACGATCGGAAAGAACGAGCACTTTGTCACCTTTCTCAATCGCCTTGCTCGCCTGCATGCACACCTCGTCAAGAGCGTTAATGTACCCTGGCACCCCCTGTTCCTTGGGGAATGTGATGTCGATGGTGTGAACAGTCCAGCTATTGTTAACTTGTTGGATACTCGTCAACGCATTAAACTCGTTCGGTGAAAGGACCGGTGAAGGGAGAAGCAGACGATGGCATTGGGATGGACCCATCTCGAGGACATTGCCCTGGGGCCCAACATAGCATTCAAGAGACATGACAATGGCCTCACGGATTGGATCGATGGGTGGGTTTGTGACCTGCGCAAAAAGCTGACGGAAATACTCGTACAAAAGACGGGGCTGTTTTGCTAGACAAGCCAATGGGGCATCATTACCCATGGAACCAAGCGCTTCCTTAGAGTCTGCAGCCTGCAGGAAATATTAGAAGGAAAATGGTTGCTCGAGTGAGACGCAGTGACTTACCATCGGTCCTAGAATCAGGCTGACCTGCTCGAATGAGTACCCAAAGGCAAGCAAACGGGGGTCATTTTGCAAGCTATTATCGTCCAATGAAGGTTCAAGGCGAACACCCGAACTCTCCAACTGGTTATATACTTTCTTAATGGTGAGTAATTGTTCTTCGACCCATGAAGTGAAATCGAACCGAGAAGACACCCCCATCTTCAGCTCCTTATCATCAACTATCCGCCCTTCCACAGTATCTACTAAAAGCATCCTCCCAGGCTTCAATCTACCCTTCTGGATAATGTGCTCTGGATCGATCAAGATAGTGCCGACTTCGGATGCACAAATAATGCGGTCGTCATCCGTTACGTAGAATCTACATGGCCTTAAGCCGTTACGATCCAATGTAGCACCACAGTATCTCCCATCCGCGAAAGTAAACAATGCTGGGCCGTCCCAAGGCTCCATCAAGCAGGCAGCCCATTCATAGAAGGCCACTTTCTTGGGGTCCATCAGAGCATTATCTTGCCAGGCTTCGGGAACCATCATCATAATGGTCTCCGGTAGGGAAAGGACACCATTTATAGTAAGCAGCTCAAGAACGTTATCAAACGCCGCAGAATCGGACCCCCCCTCCTCGATGATGGGGTATAACTGCTCCAGCTCTTCTCCAAACTTAGCAGATTTCATCTGGCCTTCACGTGCTCGCATCCAATTTTTGTTACCACGCAGCGTGTTAATCTCACCTACCCCTAATATCAGCCCCGTGCGCATATCCAAGTGAAGGGTTTGATGTATTACCATTGTGAGCTACCCACCGTAGGGGCTGGGCGCGGTCCCAACTGGGGAAGGTGTTTGTGGAGAAACGAGAGTGGACGAGGGCAAAGTGGACGGCATAATCGACGTTAACCAAGTCATGGTAATAGGTATAAACTTGTACAGGTGCCAATTGACCTTTGTATACAATATTTTTATTGCTCAGAGAGCAAATATAGAACCAATTGTGTAAACCGATCTTTTTCGTGCTAACTTTGCGCAGAATGAAGAGTTGCCGTTCGAAATATTTCTCGTCAAAGCTCTCAGCGTCTGTATTTTCGGGCTTTTCTCCTTCCCCGTATCGGCTCCTCAGGACGACAAAGGGTTGAAGTATCGTGGGTTCACGAGACAACGCCGCCGGACCCAGAAGAGCACTATCGCGTGGAACTTCTCGCCAACCTAACACCCGAAGACCCAACGAATCTGCGAGTTCGATGAAAGTATTCTTGCTCTCGATGAGAACCTCCTCACTTGGTTTGAAGAACAGGTTCCCGACGGCATATTGGCCCTGCGGGGGTAGAACAAATCCCGACGATCCTGTAAACTCCTTTACAAAGAATTTGTGAGGAATGGATGTCATAACACCTGCTCCATCACCATCACGGGCATCAGAACCCACAGCCCCTCGATGGGTCATGTTGCATAGCAGACTCCGAGCATCACTGAGGATCTTGTGGCTAGCAATTCCTTTGATGTTCCTGAACCATCGTTAGCACAATTCTTGGATAATTTTGGGCACGGGGGAACAATTACGCTGCAAACCTTACGCCGCACGCATCCTTCTCCAATTCAGGGTCGTAAAGGCCCTGCTTGAGTGGCAAAGCACCGGCCCATGAGCGATTTTCAGGGGTATTCTGGTAATTGTAGATGTTCACGGGTTCTTCAATTTCTTCGATCTCGCTCTCATAAGCAGGGGCCATCCTTTGGCTCGATCGGGTAAAGCGTAATCAGAGCTAAATCAGCCTCGCTCTTCGAACGAATAGGATATAAAATGTTCGTGTGCTGGGGCGATAAAATTTCAAATCTGAGGATAGGTTTGATCAATTGCACGGCAAACAACCCAAAACTCGTTTGTTGGGCGAAAGATGGGAGGGGGGGGGAGGGGGGAGCAGGAGTTTGACTGCGTTTTCCCAGCTGACGTTCAGTTACGTGTGGCAACAGAAAAGTTTAATTGTGCGAGTGGACCCCACGGGGATTCGGGCACGGGCGAAGGGACTGCGCTGGCTAGATTAGAAGACAACTGTGATAGGGGCGGGGTACAGTGCGTCTTGCCTTTGGGGGAGACAATGGAGGATAAAGAGTATCCTATGACACAGGATAGGGAGGGAGAGAGAGAGAGGAGGAGTGGGAGGAGTGGTAGAAGGGGTGGAGGAGGGAACTCAAACCGGGGGTGCCCCGAAGAAAAAATATCCGGCTGAAATTATAATTACCGAAGCGAAAGGGCCCCCCGGAAACTGGAATGGTTTTTCTCACCCTAAATTATGGAGGAGGGGTGAGAGAGGGGCGGGACGTGACGGCGGGGAAAGGTCTCTACTGACCGATAACGTCAAAATAATTACCAACCAAAGAGAGATAAGAAATTCTCCAATGGAGCACACAATAAATCGAATGGGGAAGAGTCTCCAAGTGAATTGTCTTACTCGATGCTCTTTGTTCTCCAGGCGTTACAGTATTATATATAATTCTCATTCCTCCATCATAATACTTGTACTTCTGCCGGCATCTATGCCTCTTTACAACTGGGAAGTGTGCTAGCATTAGCGGGAGAAGCCTATGACGCTGAGGGGGAAAGCTAGTGCATGGCCGAAGTGGGAAAGAGATCACTGTCCCGTTATCTGATAGGCCGCAATATGATAATTACAGGTGACAGGGTGTGACAAAAGTGGGAGGGATCAGGGTTGGCAAACGCAAGAGATTGGAGATCCCTTGCGAAGTATGATACTGTGCGAATAATTCTTAAGTGAGTGCCGTATCATATCATACTGATTATCGAAGGAGCTCAATAAGGCACAGTACCGATTGGACAACCTTCACCAACTCCATCCCATCATGGTAATAACGACGTACTGTATGCAGTCATTCATGTGAATGGAAAAAGTGGTACACACCACTGTACTAGTACTCGAGTATTGCAAGCGCAGCTGCATTGCCTGCAATTAAAATGCAGCCTCTTCACGATATATATACTCGAGTACCTGCCCTGTACATACCATTGATTGAAGCCAGGAGTCCTGCAAAGTGGGGAAGCACAATCCACGAGCACTCGAGTACGGATCGCACGAGAACAAAAAAAAAAAGAAAGAAAAAAAAGGAAGAATGTCCCATATCATACCTTCTTCCTTTTTTCCCTTTCCCTCCCTTTCCCTCGCCGGAGGTCACTGTGCCAAGGAAGACCGTGCACATCCATCTTCACACCCCACGCTGCCCCTTCAATCAGGAATCACTGGTTCGAGACCTATTACCGTACTTGAGTAAACTGTACGAGTACTCGAGTACGGCAAGTCCTTCCTTTTCCAGACTGGGGATGCCCCCCCGTCGTTGTTTAAGGTGCGGCTGCTTGTGTAACAGCCTGACCAACCTACATCCTTCATTTGTCTTGAATTCTACAGTACTGTACACCGGCGCGACACCAGCCCTGCAGTACCGGTATCAGATTCGTTCTCTTCCCACCAAAACTTGTCATACCTCACTGATCACTGCACGCACGCACAGCGTTATTCGTAGATACCGGTGCTGTACCGCTATCGCTGACTAGCACCGCGAAACATTTTCATGGGACAATCTCTGCAGAATAAAAAAAATCACCATATACCCTTCAATGTGCGAAGTGGCAAGCCAGGTATCCCCGCAATGCGATGTGGGGCCCGGGTACTCGTACTGTGCTCCCTGGGTCTTGCATGCTTGACAATGCTGGTACTGTATTTGCACTTTATGCTTTTTAGTGTCGCTAGATTAACGATCACCCTTTTTTTCTTGGGCGATATTACTCTACGACTCGAGAGTACTCATACTGTACGGTACTTGTACTTATAACAATACCGGCACGTTACTCGAGTGGGTGGCATGTGTTTTTGAAAATATTGCATCCACCCCACCCTCCCCCACGTTTGTGGATCGTGATGGTAAGAGTTTGATGGTTAACCCGGGTTTCGGGGGAATTCGGATGAACTAGCAGCTGATCCCAACATGTTTTATGTACCCAGGGAATCCAAGAAACTAACCCCTCCTTTGTTCAAACAGCCAGCCCAGCTCGCTGAAAAACCAACTCTTCCGGCGGGTCAAGTTTTCCCAAAGTCGACAAAGTGATCGAGACACAAATTCTAGATCCTCGGCCCAATTCTCACTTTTTTGGGGATGCAAAACTGTTCAGTCACCGGAGTACCAATTGACCATCTCATGGCTCGAACGAGCTATCCCTATGGAAATAGGCAACAAACTTGAAGAGCTGGCCCAATTTGAAAGCGGACTTCTTCTAATGGTTTCAACCCCCCCGAAGCAGTTGTTTGCCATGCTCAACTAATTTCTACCCACAGCATCCGAAGTTATCGGTATAGTATGATATTCCTATCTAATCTTTGGCATCCAAGAGTTTGTCAGCTTTTCCACCGCCCCTTTTCGCCAACTAGCAACCGCTTACTGCACACTATGCGAGCAGCCACCCGTGTATTCTTCTCCAGTTCCTCAAGCGAGGCCGTCTTCCGCGGAGAATCTGTGGTGTTGTTACAGTGCAGCACCCAGGATTTAGGCAATTCGGAGGGAGCGCTTTTCAATTTCGAGCCATATCGGTTTCCAACATCGGCTTGGCCCGATTTTGCGTCCTCCGTTCGATGGTGGTGTACTGGGGAGGGGGAGGGTGAGAGAGGAGGGAAAAAGAAAAAAGAAAAAGAGAACCAAAGTCACGCGTGCTCGTACATTTGACTGCGGGCGGAATCGGGAACCTTCGAAACAAGAATTGTTATTCGGCCTAGAGCTAACACACTCCTGAGCAGGCGACAATTCAATTGCGCTTCGAATTTTCACTTTGCACTGATTTTCAACATTCAAAACCAACTCCTGCCATTGATGGGGTAATGAGATGTGTCAAGATTTATTGACTGTGAAGCCGGTGTAGATGTCTTGGGCCGTCTCCCGGCTAAGGTGCGATGCCTTCAAATAGTCCAATTTCAGCTCCAACGGATGAATAAAGCCAACACCCAGGCTCCCGGCATACGGAGGGTGCGGTCCGCTACTTGGGCATTGTTTGGTTATGATCTCCAGGGATTGAGGCCGAGTACTGCAGCCTCAACCAAGTTGGCCAGTAATAAGGCTTGAGTGGTTTGCTGACCCCGAAGAGCGGGGTCCGCATGTGCATGGGACATGGTTGGTAGAATATATCAGCGTGAAGGAGACAATCTTCACAAAGATCAACACTCGCTCTCGAGCGGAATTCCAGTCTTCCGGGTTTACTTTTGGCACGGGGTGTCATTCGGTTACCACCGCTGATACATTATCAGACTGCGAAACTCCTCCCTTGAAATTTGTAGGATCGCGCTGAGCTCTATTGGTAATGTTTCTGCCATCGAAGATGCTGGTTGTGGGCGCCTTTCTGGGGCTGCCGTGGTCTCAAAGGCACTTCTGGGGACCGCGGTTAAAACATAGTGAACAATTTCCGCGGGTGCTAGGAAAGCCAAATAGAAGAGCCGGGCCTAAATCAAAATCGGCTCTGCTACCGGTACTTCCACCACGGTGCTTCTCAAAGATAAGAGAACGGAAAACGCTGCTCCATGGCCCAAAATTATCAGTAACTACGGTAGCCTATATCACATCCATGTATTTCAAGTCACACAAATGCGGGGAACATGGTGTATGACCGCTTCTCCACTCACTGCACCTCACAGGAGCAACGAAGGCCTACCGTACCCGAACCCAACGACCAATCTCTCAAATAGAACTATGCTCCATAGGCCAACTCTCATCAATAATACAGCACTCGAGAATACGCGGCCCTCAAATGCGCACACGACCAGTTCCTACCGGCAGCAGGTTCGGTATCCAAACAACAATTATTTCGCCGAGTAGTTGGAAGCACGGAATCAGGAAAAACCAAATCACCGCAAACAACTCTACTCCAAACTCTATCACGTATCGAGATGTCGAGAATTAAGATACCGGGTAAAATGTTTCGAGGTGGGTTAGTGACCACCAATAAGCAATGGAAATATAAAATGCTTGGAGAAAACGGCGAGTGGGAAAAAGCAACCATGAACGCGGTTCAGGAACGGTACCTTTTCACGGCAGTCTCGGGTCCCCGAAATGGAAACTGACAGGGCTGAATTTTGAAGCAGGGTTTGCGAGAAGTCCGGTATTTCGAACGGATGTCGAGATGACATGGTACTTCTGACACTGTAGCTGCTACAGTCTTCATCGTACTCGTGACGAACAGGGGTAGCTGGTGGGCAAAAAAGGCACAAGTAATCGTTAAGGTTAGGGTTGCAAAGAATTACTAGTAATTGATCCCTGTTCGTCACCAGTACGGTGAAGACTGTATGTGATATTAAGGGAATATCATACCGTAGCTGAAATGCTGCCGAGGCACAAAATTCTCAGATGGGTCGACGATAGGTAGTGAAGCAATATGTGCTTCATTGCTATATAAAAACTGGATATTGCGACCGAGCGGCGCCTGAATTTGCCGACTAGTAGTTCCTCCTGGGAAACACCTAGAGCTATGTGTTAAGTTACCGCGCATTGCATCAAGGAGCGCACTCCAAAACCCATTACTGGGAGCTAGAATACTAACAGATCTTTCTAGAAGAAAATGGTATTGGTCCCAAGACATGAAGAATGCCGCATACCGTATGTCATCTCAAGAAAGTTGTCGAACTGCGCGCTCGATCGACCTGGCATCCTACAAACCACCAGCAACTCGAAATCTGCTTCTTGAGACGAAGCGCAAATACCACAAACATCTCGGGTGCTTCGACGCCCACCCCTCAGTGATTATCAGCAGGTGACCGACCCCCGGATATAAGGCAGCAGCCCCCCAGATCACCGGTGCCTTCTCACACGCGATTGTGTGGGGGAGCACAAGGACCAACCCCGCAATCAACTTTACTAGATACCATCGACTAGCCCACCGTTCTATTCACCACAATCCCACCAAAAGAAACCGGTTCGGTATGAGCCTCCAAAACTGAGGATCACACTCAATCACTCGAAGAGCATTGAGCAATGAGCATCCCACTTAGTGCCACCCCGGAACAGTCTCGAGTTTCTCCATGTCATATTCAGGCTCATCTAATCTCAACACGAGAAGATCTCCATAGAACTTTGGCGAGACGCCCCCCACAAAATTTAACTCTTTTCCTGCACTTGAATCCTAAGTTGCTCGAGTACGGTGGAGGGATAGCAAGTGTGTATTTGCACTTTTGGTGTTATCCTTTGGACCGGCTGCTTTTTTTTTTTTGCAAGTTTTAGTCAGACATGACACAAGATTGTGCCTGAACGACGAACAGCGTACGGTACAGGACTCGGGGGGCACCGGTTGTACTATGAAATGGGCTTTGAATGTGGCGTGTCATCAAGGAGGAATAATAGCTCTAAGAACCCGAGCAGAAATCACAGCCCAGTTTGCTCGCACTCGAGTATAGTCTTCACCGGGGGCATGGCGAAACTGGGCGGGCGGTGAACAGGGTAGTCTATGATACTTCGTCGACAAAAATGTATGATGTGAGGCACCTAAAGGGTGTACCAAGGGGTTATTGTGCGTGGACAAAATTAACCGCGATTCAACAGAGGAAAAATCTTCGGCGATGACAACAACACTCACCCACCAATCCACTATTATGAAAACCAAAAAAAAAAATTAAAAGATGTAAATACATAGTAGAAATTAATATTTGGTATACCATCCATCAGCCTTAATAATTGCCTATTCTATCCACCATTGATCCAGCTAAAGTATCAAAAACCTTTGGGTCAAGAAGTTCCCAACAATGAGTGATGGCCTCTACTATTGTCTTCTTGACCACATTGACATCACCCTTCATAAGATATAGCTCAGGGTAGTGCTTGTGAAGCTTACCTTTCATGAGAGACCAAATATTTTCAATTGGATTGAGATCTGGTGAATAGGCAGGAATTTCCATCAGTGTAATTTCCTGCTCTCTAAGCCATCTCATAAAAGGCAAGTGAGTCTTAGCATTGTCAATGATAAAAAATACCTCTTCTTCTCCAGCCTTTTCTCTAATATTCTCCCATATCCCTAGAAAGTCATAATGATCATAAATATTAATAATTGACTTCCCAGTAACTCAACCCCGAGCAGAAGAAGAATCAGGAAAAACACTCAAAAAAAGACCATGAGTTTGGCTATTATAAAAACAACCAGTTATTATCTGGCTAATCCCTCTCTCCCCTCTCTTAGCCTTAGGTTCAACACAATCCTTATTCCATTTCTCATATGGGTATCTGAAAACCCATTTTCTCCTCTTTGCTCCTCCCCTTTCCACAGCTACCTCATCCCCCCATATTGCCTTTCTTTTCCACATCTTCTTTGTCCAATACCTATAAGCTAATGTCCATTTCAACCTCTCTTGAGCTAGATCCTCATCCAAATGAACTCCCCCCTGTGCCATTCATTTTCTAAGATGCTTTTTTTCAAGTCTTCTCCTTACTGTCCTACTAGAAACATTGGGAGCAACTTGCTCAGCAATGTCAGAATAGGTAGTATGGTGATTTTTAAGAGCTTCTTTATTAGAAATACCAGAACCCGATACCTAGGAACCACCCTAAGTAGGGTAACTCCACTTGGAATCGGAATCTCTGGTCTCCAACACCCCCCTCCGGCTCCCTTACGGGGCCCGTGCGTCATCATATATATCAACCTCAGTTGCGTCCTGTGACTATATTACCACAGAATTGAATGTGTCAGAATAACACCATATACGTCGCCGCCGTCCATTCGACCGGATCCTATTCGCAGGATATATGAGAGGGGACCTTCAGTTAGGTCTGGGAAGTAGAACAGAGTAATTCTGTCAACTACTCAGAGAGTTACTTGGCTTTAAAGACATGATACCTTTGGCATGGGCCGTAGGTAACAGGACGATTTTGCACAAAGAGATGGTATCAAATGGTAAAGGATCTCTACAAGAGACCAATACATTTAGATCTACCAGAAGAGTCTAGAACTCCAAAAAGACACTACCAAAGAAGCCAATGAACTTCACGGAGTGTTGCAACTGGGTTTCGGAACACATCGTAGTCATGAGGTGATTCCCAATACTACGATAGTTACTAAAACCTACTACCCAGGGAGCAACTAAGGGTTGTCGACCAAGGGATTAATTACCAATTTGGTGGAATAGCTTCCTGCAAGTTAATAGGAAGTCATCTAGAGAAAATCTATCGGTTGGGTATGGAGTTACAAAGGATCGGAGTCAGGCGACCTACGATGGTTGTAATAATGACCACCTTTGCAGATATAGCCGTGGATAAAACTGATCATTTTATCAATGGCAAAGACAATTGGAGCCAACTCAATTCAACTTAAGAACTAGGCCATAAGTCTAAAGACTCTGCTAATCGGTTTATTACTATTGGAGACTGTATGTTTCCTAAGAAGAAATATTGTAATTACCGAAGAGGGTGTGATGGTTTTCAGGGTCCACAGGTGTTCGCACCTTGGAACAAAACTCGATGTTGCGAATTATGATTGAAGAAGTACATAGTTGTATGATAAATAGATGTAGTCTGCGAATACTCAGACGCGGAATATAAATATCGAAGTACCTCCTAAGCTTTAGACATCATCAAGCAACGGAGAAGAGACCTTAACAATATAATATTGTTTTTACGATTCTACCCTACTTTACCTACTTTACTTCGCTCTGAGTAGTCATAAATAAAATGAGCCAAGTCCAAGCCTTTCTAGACAATCTCCATCTACAAAAACGAATCTCAATTGGCCTAGACAATCTTGAAGTCTATCAAGTTGTCTCCGCCTAACATTCCTCCACCATAGCATTATCCTGTAACTTGGTAGTTTTAGGATGTCTTCCTCTACCCTTATTCTCCTTGCCCTCTTGATGTCTCTTGGTAATTGTATCTCTGGCAGTAGTGTAGGAGATATTAAGGTAGTTGGAAATTTGCTGATATCTCATCTGAGGCTCATGTAACCTGAGAATCCTCTCCCTGGTAAACTCAGAGAGATGTGTGCAGGGAATAGGTTTTTTAGCACGACTGCGAAAAATAGGAGGCATAGTTTATTGAAAAAAGAATTGAGCAGAATAGTTCCTTCTTGGTTGACTTAGAGCAATTTTTTTAGGTACTGTTGAGAGTGTGGGATGATGAAGAGGGATAGGTTGCTACTGATTATTGAATCATGGTTAATTTTGTCAACACACAATTCACCAAAATGTGATGCTTATGTAATCAGGGTAGGGGTATTTTCCCCAATGTGGTGAAACAAGTTTAAGAAATTTTATTTTATATTACTACGATTACAGCTTATAGTTTTGCTTTTTTAAAAAACTATGAACAATGTATTTTTATTAACAGAAACTGGCTTGCTATCCTGACGCAAATTTATTATAGATTTTAGAAAATTATGTAATTTAAAGTTAAAATAGTATTAGGAAAGGATTGTAGATATAGTGATTGATCAATAGCAACTGTGATTATATCACATTATATTAATAGCAGCATAATATACAAATAAGAAAAAAAATATAGAAATATTTTGCTAGATATGCAAATCGAACTTCAAGCTATTTGAGAAAAAGCAACTAGCTAGAAATACTCCTTACCCTGATTATATAAGCGTCACATTTTGTAACACCCCTTGGTAAATTACAGTACGAGTACACCCTTTAGGAGCCTCACATCGTACAAGTATTCATCAAGGTTAGGGCTACAAAAAATTACTAGTATCATACAGTAATTGATCCCCGTCCATCACCCATCCAGTTTCGCCATGCCCCCGGTGGAGACTGTACGAGTATCATACGGATAACACATGTTGTCATTCACGACGCCAGTTTTTTTTTTTTACAATCTATCATATCATATACCTCAAACATTTCCAAGCCTAAGGCTTACCCTTGGGCTGGCTGGAGCAGTCAAACCCGTCGGGCGCACTAAGGTAAAATCCGCCGACAGTTATGATACCAGTAGCTGCTCCCGGTCAGAAAATCGGGATTTACAGCCTTTTCAGCACTTGGGGGGGGGAACTTGAATATTCTCAGCAGAGCATACAGCTCGAATCGCCTCGGAAAATGTTTTGGTATACTCGACAGCAAATTCAACTGTTTAAGGTCACCGCCCAATAGATAGCACCCTACGATATCTTTTTAACACTGATAGTAGAAATTAGCATTGATATTTTTCCTTTCGTTTAACCAACATCCGGTAGAATACGGTACTAATTGGAACGATACAATGTGACTTCAGCTTTCCTTTTTTTCCTGCCCCACTTCTTCCTTTTCCCTCTCACAAAATCCTAGCTGACGGGTATAAACGGGTCGCTCAAATGAAAGAAACTTCTGGGTAATTCGGATCAGGCCCATTAAGCAGCTTCCCTTTACTATGTGCGAGAACCTTGTCGAAGAAGGCCTTGAGGTAAACCCTCTGTATCGTCATAGCCCTCAGACCCCCGATCGTTCCGACGATCTCCTCTAAGACTTCCTTCGGGAACAACTTCTTCAGCCCGAGTAACTCGATAAGTGGGGCGTAGTCCGAGAAGGTAACATGTGCCGCGCCCTTGAGCGACAGCTCCCTCTTCCACCCCTTGGAGGGGCTATTCCAGAAACTCTTCCACGTTTCCTCGACGGTGCGGTTATGTCCTTCAGCGCCGAAGATGACGAACGGCTTCTTGAGACCCTTCGTGCTGACGCTGCCGAAAAATCTCCCGTCGAGATTCACCCCTCCGAGAATAGTGTCTTCCGCAGCCATTGCACCAGCAGCAGCAGCCCCCCCCAACGAGTGCCCAAACATGCCCACCCTCTCAACCTTCAACCCCTTCGCCCCAACGCCCGGAATTACGCTGGTGAGCGATGGCATGCTTAGGGACTTGATGGTGAAGAGCACATCCTTAACCCTCTCGTCATAATACTTGGTAACCTTCTCCGCGGTGACGTTCCCCGCGACGTTCTCCGGGTCGGCCACGGCGATCTTCCCATCGGGAAAGTCCACGACGGGCGAATCATACGTCGCATCCAGCGCCGCGACCATGTACCCATGGCTCGCGAGGTCTTCGGCGAGTGTGGCATAGACATACCGACTCGAGCCGAAGCCCGTGGAGAAGAGGATGAGTTTCACGTTCGGGGACTTGAGCGGCGCACCGTAGTAGCTGTTTGGAGTAATGCTCTTGACGGTCCCGTTCGGTAGCTCCAGTGTGGTTTCGTAGTGGGCGGCCACCACCGGCGACATATACTCTGGGTGCGGGAAGTTCGTGCTGGCGGAGGTAGTGGGGTAGTATAGTGTCATTATGATTCTCCGGGGCTCGTGGGTCGGGGCGAAGACGTCCTTTCTGGTTGTGTCAGTTATGAAGAAGTTGTATGTGCCGACTTTGTCCGGGCCCGTTGTGGCCGGAAGGGATACGGCGGTGACATGGTGGAGGAAGGGTAGGGATAGGCAGAGCAGGTTGAGGAGGGGTTTGAGAATCATGGTGTAGAGTCAATTGATAGGAGATGAAGATGGATAAGGTGCTAATCCCCAGCCGATAAGAAGAAGCTTCCAAACACCTAATCTCTTAGAAGTCTCCGAGACCGTTCTTTTTCTCGAAAGAAAAGATTGAGTGCGAGATTGAAAGTAGGGGAGGAAGGAAGAAATTAGCTGAAATTTACCACCCCTTTATATAACCCATTCCCTCCACAGCCCATCCTCTACTACTATGATACTAGTAAATACATCCAAGCCTGGGGGGCTGAAAAGCGTATTCCCCCCCCCCCTCTCAAATAAAATAAAAATAGGTAGAAAAGTAAGAAGTCCTTTTGCATCCGGTGCCCCGGGGACACATTGACGAACTATGATCCGCACAGCACTGTGGTGCATTCAGACACTTGGCAATGATAAAAAAGTTGGCATATGATAGATAGCACGTTACGTTACACCGCCCGCTCGTTACACACAGCAATGTCTTGTTCACACTAGTAGCTTAATACAAGTACCTTACACAACGGCAGTAGCCGTGCAAGGTAGCCAGAGAGAAGAAAAGAGAAAAGCAGAAAAAAAAGAAAAAAAAGAAAAAAGAAAAAAACGCTCGATAATGATGACCAGAGTATCGTAGCCCCAACAGCCACTGAAAGGAGAACAGAATCAGGCTTTCCGGAACACAGATGGAGAAGAATCCGCCTCGCCGGAAGGGGGGCAGGGGAAGTGCATCCTGGTTTTGTGCGAGCACCAAGCAGCTGGACGAATAGGTAATATGATAAGAGGAAGGAGTTGCGATGAGTTCCTGGTACAAGTATAGCTACATAACTTGGTGGCTTGTATCACATACATTCTGCCTCACAATACCGGTACCAAAGTCCACCGTACCACATCGTTCCCTTCTCGCTGTGCTACCTAACTTGACTTACCTACGGTACCGTACTACCGTATACGTAAGGCACCGCATCATATGTATCATACATACCGGTAAGTCACTTGCAGGACTCACTAGCTCTCACTCGGGATGGGGATGCCTCGTTCTTCCACTCTTCTCCTTCCTTTTCTTCTCCTTCTCTTCCCAATTCGCCTTCCTTCCTTCCTTCCTTCCTTCTATTCTCCTTGTGCTTTTAGTATGATGTTATTAGGACTCGCGGATTCGTCCGGGGGACTGCGGGTGGCTGCACGGTACTTTACACCCTCCCTATCCCATCTCGCTCCACCTTGTTGTACAGTACGTATGGAGCAGTGCATGATATCATCGATTATACAAAAATTTTCGATATAATCGTCCGGTGGCCCATCGCAAGACTTCCGCCCACCCAACGCCGTCCTGCGATGAATGCATTCCTAGCAAGTGGGAAAGAGAGAGAGCGAGAGAGAGAGAGAGAGAGTGTGTGTGTGTGAAGGTAAAAAGGAAATAGGGTAGAACAGGGCGAAACCACAATCAACAGATATCCAACCAAATCTGCAGGAAACAACACAAGGGGAGCCTCCCCCCTGCCAATTCGCACGAGTAGTGCCTAGGAGTAAAGGTCACAGACAAAACAACCTCAAAACAAATGGTGCGGAGGGAAGGGAAAATCCTTCCTACATTCCCCCGAGGCTTCCAGCCTCGTAAGATACTCGGGTAACAATTCACCCAACAGTCCTTCACCCAGCGGAGCCACCTCCGCGCAACGTAACCCTACTAGCTAATGCGTAGCACAAAGGGAACGAGTGAGCATCAGTGCTGAACCGGTTGCTGAACCGCTTGCTGAACCGAACGGAGACGTCGAAGGAAGTTCTTGCAGAGTGCTCAGTGTCGAGGTTCTATTTGTACGATATAACGTCGATTTAAGGTTGAGCATAGGAGTTGCGTTGCGGTTTCAAACTACTTTTGGGCGGGGTTTTTCTTTTATTGGAAGCGGGGGTTGCTCGAGTACTGTACTCGTCGAGCGCTACCCTACCATAGTCTAATGGAATTTCAAGCTATGGGTCGTGGGGGAGGGCGCCGGGGCGGCGAGTGAGCGGGGGTGATAATTGCTCCGCCCCGCCTTGCTATGGCTATGGTGAGGCTTATGAATGAAGAAAAGTAAGGGGGGATGAGGGGACGCCTGGGAAGGCTTCGGGAGTGTCCAATGTATCTAAGGTTAATCATCAGGGTGTACGAGTACTGTACTTGTTTGCACTCGTGATAACGCTAGGCTTCGGAACTTCTCTCCCTCCCAGCTTAGATTCTAACCTGTCACATAAGATGGATATCCTATCACACCGCCCAGCACCACACAACACTTTCCAGAGCTAACTTAAAGGAGCAGAGGAGGCAAAGACGCAGCAACTTCAGCCTGCCAAAAGAGCCCTACAGATCACGAAAGCCTCAACGCAGCAAACGAAGAAGCCCAAGAAAGAGAAGAAAGAAAAGGAAAGAAAAAGGGCATCTGGTTCTAAGTAAATTACAATGCTAACCCAAGCTAAATGCCATCCGTCTCATCAAAATCAAATAGGTAAATCTACGCCCTGTAGTAATGACTATGGAAAGAAAGAAAGAAAAATTTAGTCAGCAAGGCAGATTCGTAGTTTTTTCGGAAATCTACAGCAGTAACTTACGTCTCCTCAAGCGTCCTTCCCTTCAAGAACTCCGGTTCCGATCCCGGAACGTAGATGTCCTCAAAGAGGGTCTTCGAGGTAGGGTCTGGCACGGGTGCCTCCTCGGCTTTCTTGACCTCTTCGTCGACTGATGCCTTAGCCTCTTTTTCAAGTGCTTTCAACTCATCCTCAGAGATCCCCCACTCCAAGATCTTCTGCTTAAGGCCCTGGATTGGATCTTGAGTAGAACGCATGCGCTGAACTTCCTCACGTGTGCGGTAAGTGGTACCGGGATCGGACATGGAATGACCACCGTAGCGGTAGGTGACGAATTCCATAACCATCGGGCCCTTTCCGGAAATGGTATGTTCTTTGGCATATGCACTCGCCTGTTTAACGGCAAGGACGTCCATTCCATTAACCTTCAGTCCAGGGATGTACTGTCCACGCTTGTAGTAGTCGGTCAGAGCCGAAGATCTATTCGCAGAGGTGCCCATTCCGTACTTATTATCTGTTCATCCGCACCGGCCAGTCAGCAAACAATAACAACGCGTTATCAGATCTATCTTTCCATGGATGACCCTACTTTCGCATGCGAAAACAACCGGAATATCCCAAAGCTTAGCCATGTTGTACGCCTCAAAGACCTGACCCTGGTTTGAGGCACCATCACCATACAAAGCGAAGGTAGTGTTCGGCCTTCCCAAGTACTTCATCGCAAACCCGATTCCAGCACCAACAGGGACCTGCGCACCGACGATGCCGTTTCCACCATAGAACCCCTTGGTGAACATATGCATAGAACCACCCTTTCCATAAGCGATACCCTCTCTTCGGCCAAGAAGCTCAGCAATGATGCTTTTAACAGAAGCGCCGCGCATGAGAGCGAAACCATGGCATCTGTAAGCAGTGATAACCTGATCATCGGGAGTGATAGCATGCTCAACACCGGCGGCAACAGCTTCCTGTCCGGTGGACAAATGACAGAAACCACGGATCTTCTTCTCTTTGTAAAGTTTATCGGCTGCCATCTCCATTCGTCTATACTCGCACCCGTCAGCAACCCAGACAGAGAACCGTTTCACTACTGCGAACAAATAGAAAAAACATAACGAGGCAAATTTCCAATTCTGGACCCGAGTATCCGAAACTTTGACCGAGCCCCCCAAATTCGATCATCCCGCTACGAGAAAACGTACAAAGACCAAATTCCCGGATCCCTCAAGAAAGGAATAAAAGCAAGGCTTGCGCTCACCGAATAGTAACCATATCAGAGTACATCTTCTTAAGTTCATTCTTCGACACACTCAACTCAGTACTTGGGCCATCAATCATGTAACTCTCGAAACTCTCACTGGAAAGGTTGACAGTGAATTTCTTGTCGTCATCCTAAAAAGCCCATACAACACCGATTAGCCCAAGCACTCCTTCCCAACTATCGTAGAGTGGGGAAGGAAAAACCTACCACAGGAACAGAGCTCATATCCGCATGCGAAGACGCAGCGTCCGTGGTAACGGTCCTCAACAACCTGAGCGGTGCTATGCGAGTCGCCTTAATTGAGCGAGCCAACATCATGATGCTCGAGTAGATGAACGAAGGTCAGTGGTATGCGGGTTGTGGGCTGATTTACGTAGCGGGCGAGCAATGAACAGACGATGGGGGAAGGGAAAGAAAGGCGGCGGGCAGAAAAATGTTGGGTCGGAAGCAAGGTCCGATCGGGTACCGGTAATGTGCTCAATCTGATTAGATAACGGACCCGGTTTGTTTGGTCACGACGGCAAAGTAAGTTAGATTTAAACCAAGTTAACTATAGTGAGAAATAAGACTATGATACCTACGAGTACAGGTAAAACTTAATGTCTGAACCGGAGGTCAGTTGTTCTTTTGAAGAAGAAATCGCTTTTAGGTCAAGTGAATTATTTTACACTTCTATGGTTGGTGGGGGGGGACTTTGATGCTGTACAGAACTTAGTGGACAATACGGTAGGTACTCGTCCCATAAGAGGAAGGATAAAATAAAGAGGAGAAAGAAGGGGAAAAAATAGGTAAATAACAAGGACCTCCCAATTCTGTCTCAGTATAATAGTTTTGTGAAAAAGAAAAAGAAAATATGGCTCTCCCCCTCAGCAAGAGTTGGATACTAGAGATATTCATATTGGGGGAGTAGGCAGTGTCGTGTAGGAGATACATAAATACACTTGAGCAAGGGAGGATTCCATAGAAGGGAGAAGTGAGAGTGGGAAAATAGTGAAAGGAAGAGGAGGAAAGAAACAAAACATAAGACTAAAGCTGCATAATACCTTATTCACCCGGATAAAAAACCAACAAGAAAACAAATCAGATGGGAGGAGAAAGGAAGGAAAAAAAAGTACACCCATACCACCCCCACCAAAAAAAAAGAAAACAACAACTAACAGACAAATCTTACATAGTCTGCCATTATGAGATTATCATGTACAGAAATTAAGGGGGGCTTCAATTGGTGGAAAGCAGAAAATTATGCTTGGGATGGCGGAGCTGGTGTCTGCCCAAACGCTGTTGCTGCAGACTGTCGCGCCCGGGCCCGTGCTGCCCCTACCTCTGCCTGCGCTGCCTCTACGTCTGCTTTCGCCTTTTGTTCCTGAGCCTTTGCTCTGGCCAGTTGCGCAAGGGCGGCCTGGATATCTGCCAACGGAACCAACTTGCGAGGAGGGGTTGAACTCAGAGGCTGGTGTGGGAGAGAAGTATTGGGCGAGTGATCGACTGCTGGTAACGCGGAGGAAGGTGGGGGGGACTGAGGGACGGAAGTAATTGAGGAACCCTGAGGCGTTGCAACTACGGTCGGAGCAGACACCTGCTCAGGGCTGTTTACTCCGCGGGGAAGCGTTTCTGTCATGTCATGCGCAGGCCCTGTGGTTTGTGTGGAGAGAGCGGATGTTTGCTGCGCAACAAAGACAGGGTCATAGGCCTCGATCTGTTGGGATGGGGGGGTAGCAACCAGCCCAGTACCTTGCGCCATGAGTTGAGGGTCGATCATCGAATTCGAGGTAGTGGATGATTGTATGCTTTCTTGATTGGAGAAGTCGTCATCGTGCTGTCTTGCTCCGTCATTCATCAAGGTTAAGGGCTGGCTAGCAGACATCCCAGTCTCCCGGCCCGGCAAAATTTGAGTCAATATCGCATGTTCTTGTGTCTGGAACAGTGCGTGCTCGTTAATAAATGCTTTAGTAGCATCTGCAACGATATTGGCAATGGAGGTACCACTTGAAACAGTTGGGACAGAGGGTTGATAGGCGGAAGGCCATAATTGCTGTTGAGAGAGGTGGCTAATGTTAACCCCTCCTCCTGTAAGATGACTTTGAGGAGAATGGTGGTCGCGAGTTTGGTCTGGTGTATAAGGAGACTGCAGCTCTTGTGAGCGTTGGAGGGGACCTGGGCTATGGTGCATAGGTTTCAAGACCTTAGCTGGAGTCTTGATTATCTTAGCCCTGGGCTTCCTAGTAGACCCCATACTTGCAGCTTCGTTCGGGACCCTCTTTTCCGGATCATCGGTATATTTGGCAATGTACTCCGTTGAGTGTTCCCCAAGATAATGCCATATAGAATTGCTAAGGTCAACCGGAGCTTGATCTGCGTTTACCGGGGGACCCGCCATAATAAGTTCTCCCCACTTAAGGCCGGATGCTTCGTCACAAAAGGGATCGTCGGGCTCAGGAACCAGCTTGGGAGCTTTTGTGGTCGCAACTCCTGATTGTTGTGCCGTTGGATACATAGGCATCTCGGTCAATGGCAAAGGCAGAGGAACCGTTGAAGGATCTTGAGCCAATATCCACTTCCATTCAACTTCCAGTGATTCAGTCCTAGTTAGGTTAGAAACTACCGCCCAAATAAAACAACAAAAAAAAAAAAATGAAGGAAAGGCAAAAAAACAGATCATATTGGTGGCTAACCCTTTTGGTAAGACATTGACCACCACACACTCCTCACTGTATCTATTCTCGATGACCACACCGCCAAAGATGTCCCCCCTGTAATACTGCATCTGGATAACATCACCCTTAATGAGACTGTTAGCAAATTTCCGTACCACCATATCGCTCTCTAATTTCTCGCTATCCATGCCCTTGGGACGCTTGGGCCTATGAAATCTACAACGGAAGTCGATATCTGTTTGTGGATACATCTGGCCATCTTCACCATAGTGAGGAACGTCAAACATGTTAACCAGGACGCCAGCTGCCGCAGCGCAGGTAGCATGATACGCTCTTGCGCATTTCTTGGAGGAGCATTGGAAGCAGGCACCCTTTGTTGATCGGCAGAATATGCATCTGAGCTCGAGCCGAGCCCTCGGGATTCCGGGGATATTTGCGACAACCTCCTGTTGCTGAGCCTCATCCCATTTGAAGTAGGTTTCAGGCGTATAGATAGCGCACAGCCTAAGCGGGACAAGCAATAAACGTTATCAGCCACAGTATCGCAGGGTAACACTTGGAGAACTTATGGGAGTATACAAAAAGGAAAAAAAGTCACTTGGACAGACAAATAAAGGAGAGAAAAATAAAGAGAAAGCAGAGTTGTCATACCTATGAGCCTTTTGGCCATCATCTGTAGCTACCAACTCTTCATATGGAATATTATTAGGGCAGAGAATACACTATCGAACACACAAATAGTCAACGCCAGATTACTACATCAAAGTGAGTGCAACGGCAAAAACCCACCGGCTCAGGGGCAGCCTCTTTGCTCAACTTCAACCGCAACTTCTTAACCTTAGCAGGTCGCTCCTTTCCATCTTCGAGCTTCCTCTTCTTGTGGTTTTTAGTCTTCACCGGCTTCCCTTCTACGCTCTCAGGGGGGGTTGGGAGATCATTAGCCTCCATCTCATCCTCGTCCTCATCCCCGTAGTAATATTCGATTTCGTCACCCTCGTCCTCAGTAGACTCCCCCCTCAACTTTCTCTCAATTTCATCCACATCAACCCAGACGGAATCCTTGATACATTCGCATTTCTTTGCGTTGCGTCCGTACTCTAGCCAAGCTTCAGTGGCGAAATTTACACTCTCAGCGCAATTGTACCCAAGATTGTATCCAGAGTGGTATCCGAAGGGGAATGTTATAACAAATTCGCCCTGATGGTGGACTAACTTGTTGACCTTGATACCGTGGCCAAGAAGCAAGGATGGAGAAACAAGATAGTTCTTGTGGCGAAGAAATTGCGAACATTTCTTTGAGTCGTTAGGCCAGATGCCTGCAACGCGGTCATAAGTTAGGCTAAGAGCCGATTGAGAGGAAAAGGAGAAAAACTTGCCTCTCATCACTTGCTCAAACTTGGGCTTATCCTCTCTTGAGATGGAGTACCATTGCTTGGGCGCTCCGAAGTGTATGTAATTGATGCTGTAGAGATCCACATCTTCCAAATGCCAAGCAAATGTACTTCTCCACATCCCAAGATAAAGGTAAGCAGTGTTGACGCCCGGGAGTTTCTTGCCCAAACAATCAAGCAAGTTCTCGAGCTTGGCTACGTTCCAGCTCGTGATGGAGTCGTCAAACAAGCTCCCAGGCATATCAGCCCCATACAGTGGGTTACTGTACGTTAATGTACGCCAATAGGCCTTCTCCAACTCATCACACCTCTCCGGAGTATAGTCATCTGCATTGTGGATACGGAAGTCAAATCCATCAAAGGCTTCGTCATCTGCAATCGCTTGTTCTGCCTCTCTCTCCTTCGCGGTTTTCCTGACATATTTCTTTTTTTGGCGAGGTTGGCGTCCATGAGAATCAGTGATGGGATCGGGAGTTGATTCGACTGTACCACCCATACGGGGTTGACGACCATGGGAATCGGTGATTGGTCCTGGTGTACTAAGCTCCTCCTGCTTCGCCTTTTCCGGCGACCTAGGAGTCGGTGGATTTCTCTTCTTTGAACCCGCGACTGGTGCATTATCCTCCAAGTCACCGAGCGCGATAAGGACCTCTTCCTTGACCTCACGAACGGCAGCCGCAGCGCTCTTCCTAGATTTAGTTTTCCTCCCAACGGGAGCCTCTTTGATAGCTTGGCCCTTCCTCCTTTCTCCACGCTTCGCGGGCGGTTGATGTTCGCTGCTTTCGCAGAGTTGGCGCCATTGAGGAAGATTGTAAGTCCGCTGCTTCTCGATGTTCTCCTGTCTATACTCCCCCGCTACACCGGCCATATGCTGGATGATAGGGTTTTTGATCCGGATGTCTTTCAATTTGTCTTCGAGGGAGGCTAAACTATCGGTCCTGCAGAATAGTCAGCACCAAAGATCACCAGCGCATTAGCGCACGATGATCGCGTAGCGAAATCGCGAACGGAACGCAATCAACAGACGGAGGATGGAGCGATAAACTCACCATTCTTTTGGAGGAATGACCTTGACGATGCCCGACTGCATCCCGTAATGGTTGATCTTATTAACAAAGTGTTTAAAAGAGCGGAACTGATCCATTGTCTATTCGCGACGTCAGTTTTCAAGACCACCACCTCAATAGCTCCATGTATTCGCCAGCAAAAGATCCCTCCCCCCAATACCATCGCCCCCATCCCAAAGCACTTATTCCCGAAAGACAAAAAGTAGAGATCCATCCCTAGGTTACTGGAACCCCTCGAAGAACATTGAAAAGAATCGCGCTCAGACAGGTAAACTTACAGGTTCAAACACAGGGATACCCATATTCTCGTAGTAGTACGAGGGGGTAATCTCCTCATCCTTCTCTTCAGGAAACACTTCGAATTGTTCACCATTGTTGAGCTGCCGCTTCTCAACGACAACCTCGAATCTGGACCCCTCCCCGCTGGTAGTGACCGGGTCCATGATAGCAGCCGCCATCGTGACGGCAGCGACCAAAGATTTTGCAAATTGGGCAAACTTGAGGGGCGGACGAAAGGGTTGGTGTGAGCTCGATTGATGGATTGAGTTTGGAATTTCAGTGGTTTCTTCCTTCCTATTTTTTTTTTTTCCCTTTACTTTTCTTTCCCTCTCCCTCTCCTTCTTCCTTTTTTCCCCCTCGCCAAACTATCTGCTATGCAGCTGTCAGACCGGAGGTTCGTTGGTGGGCGGGAATTAAATGTGTTGTGAGAGAGGAAGCGTGGGGCGAGTTGCGGATGGGTAAGTCGTGTACTGTCAGTACCGTGGGTTCGTTCAACTTGACAGTGAAGGAGAGTTGAGTGGTTGCAGAGAGACGAAAAGGTGGCGGGTCCTTCCTGCCTGTAGGCTGTTTCTTCGCCTACCCTGACTTACCCTTCTGTCGTCTCGGCAGGCTACAAACGAAGGGAAGAAAGAGAAAAGAATGAAAGGCAAGCAAGAAGGAACAAGAGACAACAGAAGGGGAGAGGGGGCAAGGCACGTATGAAGGCGAAAGTGTCAAAAAAATGAAAAAATAAAATAAGAAAGGGAACCTTTCAAGCAAGAGAAGGGCAAAAAGGAAATAATTTTGTAAGAAAAGGATGACCCTGTATCTTTTTGATCCCTTCTATTGTTATCACCCTTTCCGTTCTCTCTCTGCTCTCTACTCAATCAATCCTCATGCACAGATTGTGAAGGAGGAGGGGAGGGAAAGAAAAACAACATGGGAATTTGATGTCCCAGCTAAACCCCCCCCCCAAATCCAGATTTCTCTCCTGCCCTTGAAAAATCTCGGATAATAATGAAGACTCCAAGCGACGAAAACGAGATCACGCGCTTTCCCTTCCCCCATCCTTCCTTCCTCTATGGTACGGTGCCTCATAACCACAGCCCATTTTGCCCCCTTCCCCCTCTCTCCTTCCTTCCTCCTTACTCCCTGCGGACCTTCCTACAGTACACCATTTTATGTAATACTCCCCTTTGACGGCACGCACCATGGTACATATTGTGCCGGTACTCGAGTACATTCGGTTGGTATATGGTACGGGTATGATACCTTAACCAGCAGCGCACAGGCAGGTATGATAGGAGATCTGTGTATTGTACAAGTACTGTACTCGTACGTGTGAACCAAGAGCATATCACGGTGCATACCGCGGTACTGTACGCGTACCGTACAGTCGTACTCTTACTGATACAGTCTGGCGTACTCTTACTGATATTGTGCATGGACAAAATTAACCGCGATTCAACAGAGGAAAATCGTCGGCAATGACAACCACACTCACTCACCAATCCACTATCATGAAAACCAAAAAAAAAATTAAAAGATGTAAATACATAGTAGAAATTAATATTTGGTATACTATCCATCAGCCTTAATAATTGCCTCTATTCTATCCACCATTGATCCAGCTAAAGTATCAAAGACCTTTGGGTCAAGAAGTTCCCAACAATGAATGATGGCCTCTACTATTGCCTTCTTGACTACATTGACATCACCCTTCATAAGATATAGCTCAGGGTAGTGCTTGTGAAGCTTACCTTTCATGAGAGACCAAATATTTTCAATTGGATTGAGATCTGGTAAATAGGCAGGAATTTCCATCAGTGTAATTACCTGCCCTCTGAGCCATTGTCACGAACGTGGCTTGGCACAGAAAAGGTTTTCACATGACTCATAATTATGAGTCATAGGTATGTTATTGTTTCACACATATGACTCATTTAGGTCATATGATTTATTATGTTATGAATTGTTATGTTTCGAACATGACCTCGCTACGAGGTCATGGGTTTTGAACATGTAACCACTTTGATCACATGATTAGTTTGTTAGGATTTACTTTCGCGCATGTGACCACTTTAGGTCACATGACTTAGGACGGGAAGAGTACTATATAAGGAGGCCAGTACGGCTGAGGAGGATAGCCTCTTCACGTTTTATTCTAAGTATTTTTTCTATTTATTACTTTAACAAATATAAAACACCGTTACCATCTTTATCTTTATTGCAATGTTTATCGTTAGGCCAAGGAGAGCTCTTCATGAAGAAGAGTTAGAGAAATCTTACGATAGGTGTTCCCGATAGAAGACAAAGGTCTTGTATTATCAGCAATGTAGGCAGAGGCCTAATGCTATCATAAGACAAAGAAAAGAAACAGAAGAAGAAGAGAAATATCATTCTCCATCGCCGAGAACTAATTATTCGAGGAGGGATCATTACAGCCATCTCCTAGGAGGCAAGTGAGTCTTAGCATTGTCAATGATAAAAAATATCTCTTCTTCTCCAGCCTTTTCTCTAATATTCTCCTATATCCCTAGAAAGTTATAATGATTATAAATATCAATAATTGACTTCTCAGTATGTAACGATCCCTTTCTAGATAGTTAGTTCTTGGCAACGGGGAACGATACTTATCGTTTCTGTCTCCTTTTTTCTTTGTCTTACGATAGCTCTAGGTCCCTGCCTACATTACCGATAGTACAAGACCTTTGTCTTCTATCGGAAACGCCTATCGTAAGCTTTCTCTAGCTTGTCTTCGTGACGAGCGCTTCTTGGCGTAACGATAACGTTGCAATAAAGATAAAGATCATAAAGGTGTTTTATATTCGTTAAAGTAATAAGTAGGAAAAGTACTTAGAACAAAGCGTGAAGAACCTATCTTCCTCGGCCGCATCGGCCTCCTTATATAGTATTCTTCCCGCCCGTAGTCATGTGACCTAAAGTGGTCACATGTGCGAAACCAAATCATAACAAACTAATCATATGACCAAAGTGATCACATGCTCAAAACCCATGACCTTATAACAAGGTCATGTACAAAACTCATAAACCAATCATAACGCAATAAACAAGTCATATGACTCTACTGAGTCGTATGTGCGAAACCCATGACCTCATAATAAGGTCATGTGCAAAACATAAATCATATGCGCAAGGCTTACCCGCAAGGCATACTCGCAAGGCATACTTGTCAGGCGCATGTCGCATGACTCATACTTGAGCCATGTGTGAAAGCATCACAAATCCCACACATAACAAATCATATGACCCTAATGAGTCATATGTGTGAAACAATAACATACCTGTGACTCATAACTATGCGTCACATGAAAACCCTTTCCCTACTAAGCCACATTTGTGACACAGTAACTCCACTCCTAGTAGAAGAAGAATCAGGAAAAACAGGCAAAAAAAAACCATGAGTTTGACTATAAAAATAACTGGTCATCATCTGGCTAATTCCTCTCTCTCCTCTGTTAGTCTTAGGTTTAACACAATCCTTATTCTATTTCTCAAATGGGTATCTGAAAATCCATTTTCTCCTCTTTCCTCTTCCTCTTTCTACAGCTACCTCATCCCCCCATATTGTCCTCTTTCTCAATGTCTCCTTTGTCCAATGCCTATGAGCTGATACTTATTCCAACCTCTCTTAAGCTAGATCCTCATCAAAATGAACTCTCTCTTGTGCTATCCACTTTCTAAGATGCTTTTTTTCAAGTTTTCTCCTTGCTGTCCTACTAGAAACATTGGAAGCAACTTGCTCAGCAATGTCAGAATAGGTAGTGTGGCAATTTTTAAGAGCTTCCTCCACCATAGCATCATCCTGTGACTTGGTAGTTTTAGGATGTCTTCTTCTACCCTTATTCTCCTTGCCCTCTTGATGTCCCTTTGCAATTATATCTCTGACAGTAGTGTAGGAGATATTGAGGTAGTGAGAAATTTGCTGATATCTCATCTGAGACTCATGTAATCCGAGAATCCTCCCCATGGTAAACTCAGAGAGATGTGTAGAGAGAATAGGTTTTTTGGCATGACTGCGAAGAATAGGAGGCATAGTTTATTGAAAAAAAGAATTGAGCAGAATGGTTTCTTATTGGTTGACTTAGAGCAATTTTTCTATGTACTATTGAGAGTACCAGGTGGTGAAAAGGGGTGGGTTGCCACCGATTGTTGAATCGTGGTTAACTTTGTCAATATACAATACAGTCTAGTACAGTGCTGGTATCACTACTGCCACTACCACTTATACTTACTATATTGACCGTTTGAATTCGACATGCCACTAATGGAAACTAGCCCCGAGACAGGTTAGTATTGGTGTGTGTTCCATACCAGTAAGTAACAATGTATTGCTATCAGGATGTATAATAACAGATTCATACTTTATTTACAATAACGAAATATAGAATAAATGTAATTTCAACTAGAACAAAAACCTAGTAGCAGAATTTATATGTGATGTGACAAAATAATAATACCTCCTAGAATATTAGTATACTATCAAACGCAAACCACTTAAACATATGAATATTTAAATTTTTAAAAGCTTTTTCTATTCTATTATCCCTTCAATTGATAAAAACAAGCTTGTGATTAGAGAAAGAGGATGGGGGTAACTAAGCTACTCTTGAGATAAAAAGTTAAGGATTTTTTTTAGCTATTAGTTTTATACACTTATTGCAAATGACAATAGTATGTTCCTAATTAGTGTTGTACTTAATTTTCAAACTATTTTTATGAGGAAATAACTTGTTTTATGTTGGTTGTATTATATTGAAATATGAAGTTAATGAGTATAAAATAAAAAATGAAGTTTAAAATATGACTCAATCCGAGGTGTCATCTTGATTTATGGTTCCAGAATCCAGTATATCCTTCCGGAAAGCCAGTTTAGAAACAATTCTGAAGTCACATTGTCAAGATCACCGTACCATACCAGACAGAATAAGTGCTTATCTAGAAATAGAGAAAGCCTTATTTGAACCATTTTGGCAGCAGAGACAGTAGAGAAAATTTGTACAAAGAGGATTGTTTTAGGTAGCTGCAAGATTGTTTTTTACTCAGAAATATACTGCTTTTAATAGAAAATAATTTAAGTTTTCTAACGGCTGGTTTCTGGAGTTCTTAAGCCACTGGAGTCTTTCTATTTGGGTCACTACCAAGAATACACAAAAGGTCTCAGATGAATACAGTGACG